GTCTCCTGACCCCACGCCTCCATCCCACTTTTGGTCTCGTCGTCCCTTTCATGCTCGTCCTGTGTCTCATGTCCAGTGCTCTCACCCTATGTTGCTTCGTTCCCACGCGTCTCGTCCTCCCCTCCTCTCGTCACCTCCTCCGTCGTCGCTGGCTGTCACTCCGCCTCCCCTGTCTGACTTCCTCCATGTCGCTACTCCACTTGTTCCTCAGGTCCTTGCCTCTCTTGTTACCGACCCGTCTGTTCCTCTCTCTAGTCTTGACGCTTTTGTAGCTGCCATCTTGACTACGCCACAGCTCTAGTCTCTAGCCTTTCCCGTCCTCCGTCTGTCGTCGGTGCACCTGCCCTTGGCAATGACGTCCTAGAGGACAGGCAGTTCGAGCTAGCTTTCCTGTCTGAGGCCGCGCTACATCTCAGCTTCATGCTGCTAGTCCTTTGACATCCCGACCCCTCGCAATTACGCTGAGGCGACCTCGAGACCCTGGGCCTCTCAATGGATAGCTGCCATGGATGCGGAGATGGCATCTTGGAGATCTACCGGCACCTTCTTTGATGCAGTTCCCCCACCTAGGGTGAATGTAGTCGATGGGCGGTGGCTCTTCAAGGTGAAGCGTTCTCGTGGAGAGCCGCCGGTAATCAAGGCACACTACGTTGCTAGAGGCTTCAATCAGCGTGAGGGTGTTGACTTCTTCCAGACCTTCGCACTGACCCCGAAGATGACCACTCTTTGGGCGCTGCTACACGTAGAAGCTCAGCGTGACTACGAGCTGCACTCTCTCGACTTCTTGACAACGTTTCTTCAGGGCAGTCTGCACGAGCATGTTTACCTGCGTCGCTCGCCAGGCTTCACCGGTACCTTTGCCTCGAGGACCCAGTGGCTCCTCCAGCGCCCGGTTTACGGCATGCGGAAGGTACCGCGTAAGTGGCAGGACATGCTGCGGGCTACATTAGCTGGCCTGCAGTTCTTCCCGTCGTCTGCAGACCCCTTGCTCTTCGTTTGTACTGGCCAAACCCCGTTCTACATCCTTGTCTACGTAGACGACCTGACCTAGGAGAGCTGCGCCGCTACCTTGGCCTGCAGAACTCCAGGGACAGAGCAGCTCGCACCATCACTCTTACACAAAAAAACTTGGTGCGCCAAGTCCTTCAGAGGTTCGCCTTTAGTTCTCCTCCACAGACTTAGGTGAGCGGCCTAGCTCTGCCTCGGTCCTATACACTGACAACATGGCCAAATCTGCGAGAATGGGTCCTTGCGCTAGTATGCCCGAGGTCCTGCCTGAGCGCGTTTCCGAGATTCAGCTCTGCCAAAAGGATCGCCGGCAGAAGCGCATTCTGCGCGCTATTTTGGCAGATGACAACTCCTTCGTGAATGGCCCCTTGTGCCAATTCGGCAGGGTCTTGTACACTCTCGACTCTGCCAAGGTTGTCTTTACAAAACTACCTGTCGTTGTTGAAGCCATAAGACAGAAGGTCCTACGCCTTACGCAGCAGGGAAGTCCGTACTACACACACTTACTACACCTAAATTAGCTAACACAGGGTAATAAGTTCCGGGCACACTAGAAGCGTCAGCATACAGAGAATGCAAGATAGAACAAATCTGATCAATGTCCAACTCAAAGACAGGCACACCGTGGAGTAGTAGACTGGGCCAGTCAAGGAGGTCCGGGGCCAGGCCGAAGCGGCGACAAAAGTGGTCGTCGAGGTGGCGGAAGCAGCGAGTGGTCGGGTGCAGGCGATGACACACACTGCCGCAGAGGGGGCCGATCTGGAGCTGGTACTGTCAACTCACAACACCGAAGCTGCCGGCCGACGCTGAGCTGCGAGGGCTGCCACCGCGGCCACCACCTCCGGCGGCTCCTGGCCACCCAGGTGGGAGGCGGGCCCAAGGCTGCTGCGGCTGCTGCTGCTGCTGCAGCTGCGGCTGCTGCTGCAACTGCTGCTGCTGCTGTGACGGCTACTGCTGCGCCAGCTGCGGCTGCTGCTGCTCCTGGGCACCAGCTCCGATCCCCTCGTCAGGCTCACTGTCCCCGCCAACACCACCACCACCACCACGCCCCCCCTTGGTGCCACGGTGGTCCCGACGCGGGCGCAACAGCTAGGACGCGGCAGCTGCTGTCTTCGCAGCAGGGGCAGTCGCAGCGACCGCGGCTGAAACGTCAACGTACGTGCATAGGGAGGGTGCACAACCCTGAAAGATAGGGACTGCTGCAGCACCGCTCGACTGGGCGACAGTGCAATGGTGAGTCTCTATCTCAGACAAGGTGGTGACAAAGGCGGTAAGGGTGAGGTCACCTAGGTGCTGACTAGGGAAATGGTCATGGGTGTTAGAAATAGACTGCAAATACCACTTTTGTATTTGTACTTTTATATCCTAGTTTAGGTCATGAATGTTCTAGTGGGTTGGCGTGTACTCACAAATCCCAACCTCACCCAATTGTGATCCCCCCAATCTCCAATTACCAAATTGGAGATTCCGGAGATCCCAATGGGGATTCCCTCCAATTCCCCCTTCATCCATTCACTCTCACCTTGCCATGTACTTATAGAGCCTTTGGCTCCTTTCCTAATTAATCATTTCAACTCTATTTCTTACATGGTATCAGAGCGACTTATCCGCACATGCGGATCAAGGTCCTAATCTTAACGTGCCCGCGCTACGCGCACTTCATCGTCGCGACATTCGTTTCGAGTCGTCGGAATTTCGACGTGCTCCACTCTGCAGTCGCGCCTTTCATCGTCAACCGCTTTCGCACTCGACCTCGTTGAATTTCACATCTCTGAAGCGTTCACGCTTCTCATCGTCGATTTCCTTCTCGGTTCTCCTTGGTCGAATCTCAATTTCGACCATCTCTTAAAACTCGTTCTCGAGTTTCCCCTCAGACCCCGCCAGAATAGGCGAACTCCCCTCGCGAAATCGCCTCCACGAACGTCTCGCGTCAAGCAAGAGCAGGTACATAGGTTGAAGCGGAGCAGAGCTGGTTGCGGAGCTGGTTGCGGAGCTGGTTCCGGAGCTGGTTGCGGAGCTGTGTAGCTGCGGGACAGGGCCTGGGGGTGTGTGGGGGGGTGTGTGGTTCCAGGGTTAGACATAGGCTCAGATTCAGTTTCAAGTCGGCATTTTAACGAATTTTCGCCGACGCCATTTCCTACCTAGCGGCATTTTGATAAAGCCGTTAGAATAATTTTCAGCAATTCTCGTCGACCAATTTCCAGAAGTGCCGCGCTGCACACGGACAATGGCTTACTCAACCACTTCACTCGCCAACTCGATCCCTCTCCTTCGTCTCGAGCCGGACGGCACATGCTCCAACTACAAGGCTTGGCGCTATGGTGTCGACAAGCACCTCCTCAGTCGCAAGGTGAACGGGCTCGAGCTCACCGACGTCCTTCTCAACATCGGTGACGGCAAAGAGCCTCCTAATCCCGAGAGGTCCGCCGATCCAGCTAATAACGCCGCCGAAACAGTTTATGCTGCTGCACTGCTCAAGTACAAGAATTGGGAGAAGGCCGATGGTGCGCTCATTAGTGTCTTCATGGGCACCACTCCTCCCGAACTCGTCGAAACCTACCACAACTACCCGTCTGCCAACGCCATTTGGCTCTACCTCGAAGATCGGTTCCGGAACAAGACTGCAGTGGGAGTTGCTATACTCATCCCCTGCATGTTCCAAGTGCGGCTCGAGGATTCGCCAGGCATGGCGGACTATGTCACCAAGTTGTAGTCCATTCATGATGAACTCAAACAGTTGGGGATAGTCTTTCCCGAGCAAGCCCCTGCAGCCGCTCTCCTAGTCGGCCTCACTTCGGCATATGAAGTGACACGCAAGATGCTCTTGGGCCTTGCTACTGCAGACCTCACATTTGCCAAGGTCTCATCTGCGCTCCTTTCTGCCGAAAAGGACAACAGCGCTCAAGCCAACGCCAATGCAATCCGCGCTCCCGTGCCTCAAGCCTATGCCGCTTCGGCGCCATTCCAGCGCAACCGCTTCCCCCCGTGTCCCTATGTCATCAAGCGCGGCCTTCGTGCCGGCCAGGTGTGTGGCGGCACCAACCACGCCCTTGTCTCCTGCTTCAAGAAAAAGGATGACGAGTGGTATGCCGTCAATGGGACCGCCTCCAAACCGCCAAGCTGGATGGTCAATCGTGCTCCTCGCAAGGTCAATCAATTCGAAGCGCAGGAATCCGTGCAGGCTGCTGTGGCTGCACCTGCTGATGTGCGCCTCAGCATGTTGTTCCCTAGCACTGCCATGATTAATGAGACGATTTCGCAGTATCCTGGCTGACAAAGCATCTCAGCTACAATAGAGTTCACCCTTGACAGTGGGGCCACTCACACGGTTCTCAAGGAAGAACACTCCTTCAAGCCATACGAGACACCAATCCGTCTACTAGGAGCAGACTCCAGTTTCATAACACACGCCAAGGGCTCCTCCACAGTTCCGTGCCCAGCTTTTCCTTCGGACAGTGTCACCAGCATGTGTGTTCCCACACTACGCCACAATTTCATGGCCCAACACGAGCTCCAACAGGCAGGCGTCACCACGATCTTCCCAGCACACTCGGATCACTGTGACCTCTTCGACCCTAAGTCCAACAAGCTCCTAGCACGCTTCACACTCAACAGTAGCAAGCTCTACACGCTGCGTTCACCTGCACCTCTCGCCGCCCTCTCCCAAGCGCAAGCTGCCAGCACCACTCCGTGTTCGTGTCGCAGCTTCGCCAACCCAACCATCCTCTACCACCATCGCTTGGGTCACCCCAACTTCCGTACACTTGCCGACATCGCTTCCAAGAAACTTCTTCTTGGCCTCCCATCGGCGCTTCCTCCACCAACAGACTCGCCTGCACCCACCTGCCTGGACTGCACCAAGAGCAAGCTCAGGCAGCAGCCGCACCCTTCCTCCCCATCCGTCGCAGCTGCTCCGCTGGACCTAGTGCACATGGATGTCTGAGGCCCAGCTCCAGTCGCATCCCGAGGCGGTCATCGGTACTTTCTTACACTAGTCGATGACCACTCGCGGTATGTTTCTGTGCACCTCCTGCATACCAAGGCGGAGGCACCTGATGTCATCATGGCGTGGGTGCGCCAGGCTCAAGTCACGTTCGGCACTCCTCTGAAGTGCCTCCATTCTGATGGCGGGGGAGAATTTTGCAATGGCAAACTCGATAACTTCTGTGCGGCCCAAGGGATTCGGCAAACGTTTATGTTAGAATATACCATGCTGTGCTAGTTGTGTATATTGTGTTTACATCCCTAGTTGGGTGTACACCTGTGTTGGGGTGTCAATCCAACCCAATTGTGGTTGGAGCCCCCAAACACAAGGACCATTATTGTGGGGGCACCACAAGTGGGTTGGCTAAACCACTGGTAGTACACCACACTTGGACCACCTCCAACTGGTGGTCAACCACATTCGGAAGGATCCTCCCTCCTTTGTGATTGGTCCTAACCCCCCTTTCCCTTCCAACCTTCCCTTCCTAGCTCATCCCTCTCTTCCTATGTAATGCCTTTGCTTCATCAATAAACTGAACCTTTCTGTTTCTAACATGGTATAGAGCAATAATGGCTCACGCCAACTTTTAAATCCCGATCCTTCCCCACGCTTCCGCCCCGTCCCCTTCCGACGTGCACCTCATTGCCGTCCCCTCCATCGCCGCTGCTAGACTTCTAGCCGCCGCCTCTCAACTAGTTTTCTGTTGGGTGGATTTTCAAAAACCCCCAATGCGCCAAACGCCATAGCTCGCTCGATAGTTGACAGAATTGAGTGATTCGACTTGCAAAAGAACGCTCTGTGTGTCAGCTACAACGTCGTAAAATTTCGGATTGTTTCATCGCTTGTATTGTCAGATATCGCTTTCCGAAGTTTGCACACTTTCCTGGATGTGATCACGAAGTGCTACTGAAATTTCTACCAAGTCCTATTTTCATCAGCTAACTGCCATCTTTCCCCATCTTTTGCCTCCTCACCTGCACCTGCTCATCGCCGCCTTACCACTGCTGCAGCCGTAGCAGCAGCAGCAGAAGCAGCAGCAGCACCAGAAGGAGCAGCAGACTCTGCAGCAGCAGCAGCAGCAGCAGTAACAGCAGCAGCAGCAGCAGCTGAAAGAGCAGCAGCAGTAGCAGCAGCAACAGCGGCAGCAGCAGCAGTGGCAGCAGCAGCAGCGGCAGCAGCAGCAACAGCAACAGCAGCAGCAGCAGCAGCAGAAGGAGCAGCAGCAGCAGCAGAAGGAGGAGCAGCAGCAGCAGCAGCAGCAGCAGTATCTACAGCCATCCCCACCCGCCGCCGCTCCCTCCCGGCCACCGCGGGTCCACCCGCCGTCGCCTTCCTCCCACTCCGTATCACCAATGGCATCCTTTCCCCTTCCTGTCGACGTCTCGACCCTCGATCATCTCGTGCGCGCTGCCGACAACTCAGCAACCAACTGGTATTCCTTCGTCGGCAGCCTCCACCGCGTCCTCGGCAGTGCTTATGTCCTGCCGTTCCGCCTCCTGGACATCATGCTTGGTCTCCCAGAGGGTGACCTTGGGGACCCGCCGCCTCACCCTGGCGATCCCCCCCCTCTCATTCCCCATCCCGGCGAGGAACCTCCTCCCCCCATTGTACCCGTTGGCACCAGCACTCGCGCTGCCACCGCTGAAGTTGAGCAGCTCTTCCTTACTCAGCGTTGTGAGTTCCTCGTGCTCCATACTGATTACCTGATCGCGTTGGAGGAACACGAGCGGGCGGCAACCCTCCGCACCCAGCATGCCGCTACCGCCGCCGCTTATGCCGCTGACTCTGCGCGATTTGCTGAGCGTCGTCGCGCCTGGCTCGAGGCGGACAGCCGTGCTACTGGTGCCCTTCTCCTTGCCATCCCGTCTGCGCTCATGCGCAACTTCCAGGCACGTCGCATCGGCTCCCGCCAGATCTGGCTCGAGCTTGAGGCAATGTTCGAACGCACCGACTTCGATGCTGTCGGACCGCTCTTCAAGGAATACTTCAGCATCACGATCGAACATAGTGCTGGCGCCGTTGACTACACCAGCCGTCTCCTGGACCTTGCCTCCCGCCTTGAGGCTCGCCAGACTACTCTCCCCCCCAACCTTCAGATCTACCATCTCCTCGAAGGCCTCTCCCCTCAATATGAAGTGCGCGTCATCGCCTTCACTGAGGCACAGCCCCGCACCTCCCTTGACACTGTGGTCCAATGGATCATTGACGCTGAGGCCCGCCTTCTCTCAACCCCCCCCTCCGGCCTGAACTCCACCGAGTCCCAAAACCCCCAGCTTGCAGTCACACAGCCGCGTCGTGGCGGGCGCCCACGTGGCGGCCGCACCAACCCTCAGGGAGGGGGTGGAGGTGGCGGTTGTGGGGGCAGCGGAGCCGGCGGCGGTGGTGGCGGGGTCGAGGGTGGCAGCAGTGGTGGTGGTGGAGGCAGTAGTGGCTCATCTGGTAGCCATGGTGGCCGCCCTGGCACTCTCCCCCCATGTTCCTATCTTCGCCGTTTTGGTCCCAGGGCGGGTGAGCGCTGCACCCAAACCAACCATCCCCCCGCGACCTGCTTCAAGGCGTATGATGACGCCTGGTTCGAGCGCGGCAACACTGGCACACCCCCACGCTGGTCTGCCATGGATCCCCGCCCCTCTCTCCAGGATGTCAAAACTCTTCCGTCTTTCCTCCCCTCTCATCTTCAGCTCTCCTCCTCCTCCTCCTCTGTCGCTGACCCCATAACTCCCCAGGAGCTGCAGCAGTTTCGCCGCTTCCAGCAGCTGCAGCTGCTGCAGCAGCAGCAGCAGTGGGGCTCTGGTGGTCAGGCTGCAGCCGCAGCTGCAGGAGCCGCAGCCGCAGCATCTGCATGGCAGCAGCAGCAGCTTGGCTTTGGCACCGCCGCCATGGCTGCCACAGCCACACCAGGTCCTCCTGGCTTTCCCCTCTGGGGCTCTCCTTCCCCTAGTGCTCCCGCCTCCCACTCCAGCTTTCTAGGCGAGCTCATGCGTTCTTCCCCTGCTTCCACTTCCATGTATCCCTCTGTTTTTAATGCCAGTGATTTCCAGTACCCCGTGTCTTCAGCTCCCTCCTCGCTCACGATTGACTTTGTTCTCGATAGTGGTGCCACTGAAACTGCCCTCAAAGACGCCGGCACCCTCACCTCCCTCCCTTTCCCCACCAACGTTCATGGTGCTGATTCCAGCTTCTCCATCCCTTGCACTCATCTCTCTACCCTCCCCTGCCCCCCCTTCCCCTCTGGAGTGGTCACTGGTCTCCACATTCCCTCCCTTCGTCATAACCTGCTCTCCATTTGTGAACTCCAACAGGCTGGCATCACTACCCTCTTCCCCGCCTCTGCCACCTACTGTGACCTCCTCCACGGCCCCACTCGCCGCCTCCTTCATCGCCTCCCACTTTGCCCTCGCTCTCGTCAGTACATCCTCCGCACACCCCGCCCCTCCTCATGCCACGTGACCACTCGTGCAGGCACCTCCACTCTCCCCCCTCCCCTCCCTCTAGAGCCACCTTCCTCCAACTCCACCTCCTCCCCATGCTCTTGTCGCGCACTGTCCCACCCCGCAGTTCTCATCCACCACCGCCTTGGTCATATGAACTTTCCCACACTTCGTAAAGCCGTCTCCTCCTGCTTGCTTGACGGTCTTCCCCCCACTCTTCCTCCCCTCCCGTCCTCTTCCGCTCCCCCATGCGCCACATGCATTCATGGAAAGCTCAAACAACAGCCTCACCTCAGTCATCCTTCCTTTGCTACTGCCCCCCTTGACCTCGTCCACATGGACCTCTGGGGCCCTAACCCTTCCCCTTCCCGCCAAGGGCACCGGTACATGCTTGTCCTAGTCGACGACCACAGCAGGTACTCCTCGGTGTTCCTCCTCCACACGAAGGCCGAGGCCCCTGCTGTCATCGTTACCTGGGCCGAGCAGTGCCGTGTCCACTTTGGTCGCCCCATCCGCCGCCTCCATTCCGACGGCGGTGGTGAGTTTCTCAACCGCACCCTCTCCTCCTACTGCTCAACCCATGGCATCCAGCAGACTCATACCCTTCCCCACTCCCCTCAGCAGAACGGTGTTGCTGAGAGTCGCATTCGTGAGATCACCAAGACGGCCCACTGCCTCCTCACTCATGCCTCCACGCCCCCTTCTCTTTGGGGCTATGCCCTTGTCCATGCTGCTCTCCTTACTAATCTTTACCCACATCCTCAACGCCAGTCTGTCACTCCCACTGAGCTCTGGGCTAGCACCAAGCCAGATGCTGCCATTCTCCGTATCTGGGGTTGCAAGGCATATGTCCTCATCCCCCCACCTGACCGTTCTCGGCAGGCAGGAAAGCTCGCCTCCAAGGCCATTGAGTGTGTCTACCTTGGCCACGCTCGCTCTGCCCCTGGTTACCTCTTCCTTCACCCGTCCTCAGGCCGCCTCCTACAGAGCCGTGACGTGGTGTTCGATGAGAGCATCCCGTTCTATCATTCTGTTCCGCCTTCCGACCCCCTTCCTCCTCTCTCCCGCCCCCTCACCTGGGCTGATGCTGTCATTCCCCCACTCCTTCCCCAGGCTCCCCTCCTTCCTCCAAATCCTGCTCCTCCCCCTCCTCCTTCCTCAGGTGACATTTACGACCCAGCTGTCCCTGACTCCCCTGCTCACTCTGCCTCATCGCACCAGCAGCAGCAGCAGCAGCAGCAGCAGCAGCAGCAGCAGCAGCAGCAGCAGCAGGTGCAGCAGCGGATGGAGCAGCAGCAGCAGCAGCAGCAGCAACAGCAGCCGCAGCAGGAGGTGCAGCAGCAGCAGCAGCAGCAGCAGCAGCCACAGCAGCAGCAGCAGCAGCAGCAGCAGCAGCAGCCACTGCAGCAACCTCATCGGCATCGCCGCACCACCTCTCTGTTCATCCTCCCACGCATCCACACTCGCTCTCACGGCCCACTCATAGGCCATCCATGGGGTTGGCCAACACCACCCCCACCCTCCCTTCCCTTCATTGAGGACTCCCATGAGGAGCTCATTGGCGTTCAGCAACAAACACCTTCCCTCACGCCTCTCTACCCGGGCTTCCTTGGCCTCCTCATCCTTGGCATCGCTACCGCTCCCACCAGATTCACTCCGTCCAACTTCCTTGAGGCCATCACCTGCCACGATGCTGCCAAGTGGATCCAGGCTATCTTTGCTGAATGCGAGGCCTTCATCCGCAATGCCTCATTCGTTAACATTGTCCCCTCTCCTGACGACGTCATTGTTGAAGGCCTGTGGGTGTTCCGAGTGAAGCAGCTGCCGGGTGAGGAGCCGGTCTACAATGCCCGGTATTGTGCCAAGGGCTTCACCCAAACCCATGGCATCGACTACTGGGAGACATTCTCTCCCACTGCCAAGCTCCCAACTCTCCGTGCCATCCTCGACTATGCTGTTCGCATTGGCATGGAGATTGCCTCCATGGATGTCTCCAACGCCTTCCTGCAAGGCGAGCTCCAGGAGCGGGTCCTCTTGCGGCGGCCTCCAGGCTTTCATGCAGCCTTCCCCGCCAACACAGTCTGGGAGCTGCGCCGCCCGGTTTATGGCCTCAAGCAGGCTCCTCGCGAGTGGCACAACAAGCTGGCCGCCACTCTGCAGTCCTTGGGGTTCCATGCCTCTCAGTCTGATGCCAGCCTTTTCCTTCGCTCCTCTCCCACCCGCTTCTTCATCCTGGTGTATGTCGACGACATGATCCTGTTCGCTGACGATGCTGCCGCCATGCAGCAAGTGAAGGACGCCCTGCATGCGCGCCTCAAGTGCAAGGACCTGGGTGAGCTCAAGCACTATCTGGGCATGACCATCACCCGGGACCGCACATCGCGTACCATTACCCTCTCTCAGTCCTTCTACATTGACCAAGTCTTGCAGCGGTTCGACATGGCGCAGGCCAAGCCGGTTACCACTCCCCTGCAGACCGACCACCAGCTTGCCCCTCCTCCTGCTCCCTCCTCCTCTGACCATCCTTACGCTGAGCTCGTCGGCTCGCTGATGTACGCTATGATGTGCACCCGCCCCGACCTTGCCTACCCCATCAGTGTTCTTGCTCGATTCGTCGGTACCGGTCGCCACACTGATGAGCACTGGGCTGCAGCGAAGCGGGTCCTCCGCTACCTCCGTGGTACCAAGGACTATGTCCTCACCCTCGGAGGCTCTTCTCCTCCCCTCCTCTCTGGCTTCAGTGACTCCTCCTGGGCTGACTCCCAGCCGGATCGCCGCTCCTCTCAAGGCTACGGCTTCACCCTTGGCAGCGGCCTCATCAGCTGGCGCTCCACTCGCTCCTCCTCCATCGCCCTCGCATCCTGCGAGGCTGAGCTCTATGCTTGCACCATGGCCGCTCAGGAGGCTCGCTGGCTCACCTTCCTCCTTGCTGAGATCGGTGCTCCTCAGCGCTGTCCCACCCTCTGGTGCGACAACGCCAGCACCATCCATCTCACAAAGGACCCTGTCTTCCATGGCCGCTCCAAGCACATTGAACTCCGCTACTTCTTCGTTCGAGAGTTGGTCCAGCAAGGTCACTTGGTGGTCCGCAAGATCGCTGCAGAGGCCAAATTGGCCGACATCTTCACCAAGGCCCTCCCGAAGACCGCGCACTCTGCCCTCCTCCGCCTTCTCGGCCTTGAGCCCCGCCCCCCTTCCTGATTCTAGGGTTGTACCCTACATATACACTAGCTTTGCATGCTATGGGGTTGTGTTAGAATATACCATGCTATGCTAGTTGTGTATATTGTGTTTACATCCCTAGTTGGGTGTACACCTGTGTTGGGGTGTCAATCCAACCCAATTGTGGTTGGAGCCCCCAAACACAAGGACCACAATTGTGGGGGCACCACAAGTGGGTTGGCTAAACCACTGGTGGTACACCACACTTGGACCACCTCCAACTGGTGGTCAACCACATTTGGAAGGATCCTCCCTCCCTTGTGATTGGTCCTAACCCCTCTTTCCCTTCCAACCTTCCCTTCCTAGCTCATCCCTCTCTTCCTATGTAATGTCTTTGCTTCATCAATAAACTGAACCTTTCTGTTTCTAACAGTTTACGCTCCCCGAAAGCCCGCAGCAGAATGGCATTGCAGAGAGCCGCAATCACACCTTGGTTCAGATCGCTCGCTGCCTCCTCAGTCACGCCAAACCACTACGGTCACTCTGGGGATATGCCCTCTTCCATGCGGCACTCCTCTACAATCTTTATCCGCATCCCCACCGGCCCGACACCACACCTACCGCTCTCTGGCTTGGGGTCACGCCTTCCGCCCGCTCTCTACGCGTCTGGGGGTGTACCGCGTATGTGTTGCTAAGCCCCCACACACGCAGGATGCAAGGTGGCAAGCTTGGTCCCAAAACCCAGACCTGCATGTACCTGGGGCACAACTCCAACTCCCCAGACTACTTATTCCTCAACCCAATCGCCAGACAGCTGATTCGCAGCCGTGATGTCGTCTTCGATGAGACACGCCCATTCCACTCAGCGACCATGGGCGAGACTCCTCCACCTCCCCCGACGCTTGTTTGGGCAGACTTCGATGCCCCACCTCCGGCCGCTGCCCCTTCTCCAGGGCCTTCTCCGTCCGGCGTGTCTCACCCGGCCTCCCCGGTATCCTCCGCAGCAACGCCTCCCCATGCTCCGCCTTCCCCGCGCGTCGAGCCCGGCTCACCAGTCTCCTACCGGAGGCGCCCAGTCCCTCCGGTCCCACCGCAGCCGCCTTCGTCTCCGGTCTCTAGTCGCACTCGTTCCACGGGACCGGCTCCGCCTCTCGCCTGGGGACCAGCCGCCTTCTCTATCCGGTGTTCGGTCACCCCGCCTCCTCCTGCCGGGGATGATGTCCCCTCCATCCGTATTACCCCCTGTGCACTTATGGAGGACAGGCATGAGGAGCTGTTGGACCTTCACGCGGTCTGCCAATTTCTCTCTCACATCTTCCCAGACATTACTGACTGCCCTTTCCTCAACTTCACCGAGAACCCGACCATTCCGACTCCTCGCACAAAAGAGGAAGCTCTCTCGGGGCCTTATAAGAAGGAGTGGAAGGCAGCAATGGATGTGGAGAACGAGGCGTTCATTCGCAACAACAGCTTTGACGATGTCGTTCCCCCTTCCGGTGTCAACATCGTCGGCAGAAAATGGATCTTCCGAGTCAAACAACTCCCAAGTAAAGCTCCACTGTTCAAGGCACGATACGTGGCGAAGGGTTTCACCCAGAAGGAGTATCTCGACTTCTTCGAAACCTTCTCGCCCACGGCCAAGCTCCCGACTGTGCGCGCTCTTCTTGATATAGCCGCTCGCGGCAACTTCGAGATCAAGTCCATGGACGCCTCCTCCGCCTTTCTCCAAGGCCAGCTCAAGGAGGATGTTCACATGGAACGCCCACCGGGGTTTCCTGGCACTTACCCTGCCAACACAGTGTGGAAGCTGAAGCGCCCAATGTATGGCCTCAAGCAGGCTCCTTATGAGTGGCATAACAAGGTGAAGGAAGTCCTCTTCGCACTTGACTTCCATCCCTCTGCCTCAGATTCCAGTCTCTTCGTTCGTCACTCCTCCGAGCCCTTCTACATCCTCGTCTACGTCGACGACTTCATTCTAGCCGCCAGAGATCCAGCCGACATGGCAGCTGTCCAGTCTGCTCTCAGCTCCACTCTTCTCATGAAGGATCTTGGTGACCTCAAGAACTACCTGGGGATGGAGATCACTCGTGAACGCCAGGCTTGCACCATCACCCTCTCCCAGGAGTCCTACATCGACAACCTTCTCAAGCGGTTCGACATGGACTCCAGTAACTCTGTCTCCACTCCACTCCCACTACAGCATCAGCTCACGGCCCCTCCAGTTCCTTCTCCTGACGCCTGCAAGGACCCGTACCCTGAGCTAGTCGGTTGACTCATGTATGCCATGATGTGCACTCGACCAGACTTGGCTTACTCGGTTAGTGTCCTCTCTCGGTACGTCTCTCCCGGACGCTACACTGCCTTGCATTGGTCTGCAGCCAAGAGGGTCCTCCGCTATCTACAAGCCACCAAGTCTCACATCCTCACTCTTGGTGGTACCTCTCCAGTCAAGCTCGAGGGATACACAGACTCCTCATGGGCCGATGACCAGACTGACAGACGCTCCTCCCAAGGGCACTGCTTCACCCTTGGTAGCGGAGTCATCAGCTGGCGCTCCACTCGGTCCTCTGCAGTCTCCCTGTCGTCCTGCGAGGCCGAGCTCTATGCGGGCACAATGGCTGCTCAAGAGGCACGCTGGCTCTCCTTTCTCCTCGCTGAGTTAGGCTACCCCAAGCAGTCGCCCACCCTGTGGTGTGACAACCAGAGTGCCATTCACCTCACCAAGGATCCTGTGTTCCACTCTCGCACCAAGCACATCGAACTTCGTCATTTCTTCATCCAAGATATTGTTCAGAGTGACCAGCTGACGGTACGGTACATCGCCTCAGATTGCAACCTCGCGGACCTCTTTACCAAGGCTCTCGGCAAGGCTGACCACCATCGCCTTCTCCGTTCCATGCGCCTATGTGCTCCTTGATCGGGTTTGCAGTCTATGGGGGTGTGTTAGAAATAGACTGCAAATACCACTTTTGTATTTGTACTTTTATATCCTAGTTTAGGTTATGACTGTTCTAATGGGTTGGGGTGTACTCACAAATCCCAACCTCACCCAATTGTGATCCTCCCAATCTCCAATTACCCAATTTGAGATTCAGGAGATCCCAATGGGGATTCCCTCCAATTCCCCCTTCATCCATTCACTCTCACCTTGCCATGTACTTATAGAGCCTTGGGCTCCTTACCTAATCAATGATTTCAACTCTATTTCTTACAACGTGAGGGGCCGGTAGGGCGCTAACGGCCAGCAGGGCGCAGGAGGGACCAGCCAGGCATGAGGGCTGGGCCGGGGCGCGAGGGGCCGACTGTGTGCGGAAGGGACCAGCGGGGGGGGCGCAAGTGGTAGGCGGGGCGCTAAGGGCTGGTGGAGTGCGTAAGGGACCAGCGAGGCGCGAGGGACTGGTGGGGCGCAGGGGGACCAGCGGGCGCGAGGGCCGGGCAGGGCGCGAGGGGCGCAAAGGGACCAACGGGCGCAAGGGGGTTGTCGGGGCGCTAAGGGCCGGCGGGGCGTTAGGAACCTGCGGGGCACGCTAAGGGAACGGTGGGGCGGTAGGCTAGGGCGAGGGCGGAAGCGGGTGGGCGGACCTAACCTACTATGATACCATGTTGGAATAGCAGAAATATTATAACAAGAGAGAACAGGGGAGGATATAGGGTTGGAGTTGTACCCTCTATGAGCACAACCTATCTAGCTTATAATTTCTACAGATAAACATATGTATAAGTTGACAAAAATGCTGGTCATTCGTACCATGTGTTGGGGGATGGAATTATATGCTAGTATGGTAGCAGGGTTGTTAGGTCATGGAAATTAGCTAGCGCTAGGGGCCTGGACTTGGATTCTCCCCACCACCGACGCCATCGTCCGGTCGGGATCAACTGCGTCAGGCATTGAAGACGCTGGCAGTGAGAGAAGGTAATTGCTAAAAAACGACTAAGGGGAAAACTGAAGATCGAATGCCCGTGAGAGAGAGGCTAAAGTGGGGTTTGGGCTAGAAAGGGTTGGAAAAAGGGGGAAAAACACACAAGTGTCCAATAGGGACCTTGGATTCCGCCAGCAAGGGTGGGACTGGCATCGTATGATGTGGGCCAGTTGGGCGATCCGCTTGAACACCTGTGGATATGGGGCCATACGTGTAGACAGGAGGGTACACAAAAATCCGTGGGTGTACCCCCTATAGGGGGACCCTCAAGGTGGTACATAAGAAAACTCTGGATTACCAGAGAAAACATATCAAATAAGAAAATTACCCAAGGCCGTAAGGGTGGTACACAAAATCAACTCTGAAAATCAGAGAATCAGAGTAATTTAATCGTGAAAAATAGGCACTGTTCCGGACCTGCAGTTGTTCAGCCTAGTGTGGAGTGTAGAGCATATGATTTCCTCGAAGTAGAGGAGGAACACGTAGTAGAGGAAACACTCCATGATGCGGTAGATGAGACCCCGATAGAGAAACCGCCGTTCAATACTGACATGGAGTTGCTGAAGGTGATGCGTAGTTTCAACGGCGGGATGGGTTGTCTGGCTCTGACATAGACTTGTTGCTGAGAGTACTACACGTGGCAGGATACCAAAAGCCCAGCTATAGGAATCACACAGCACTAGACAGATTCGAGAAGACTCTTCTAGAACACGCATCCGGCGTGGTAGATTGGCAAGCAATCGACGCTACTCTGAGCAACGGTATAAACGTTGTAGTGCACATGACGTCCATCGTCGAAGCTCTCAAAGCATTATACTGCGATAGTGCCACCCATAAAGGCTTCGCGACACATCCCGATGCACTCTACACGGCAGATGGATTGCAACGGATTTACGCCAGGCCTGAGACGGGTGATGGGTGGATCCAGTGGCAAGCAGAAGTGCGAACCAGTGGCGTGGTTGCTGCATGCATACTGTATAGCGATGCAATGAACCCTAGCGATGACGGTCGAGTCACTTGGTACCCGGTCTATTTTTTGGTAGCGAACATAGTACATAATACGCAACTAACCAAACAGGAACATTTTTCAAATAGATACTTCTGGCATATATAAACGTAGGTTGTATCCCTTATATTATTAACTTGATCTCTAGTAATTTTATGGCAAAACTATTAAGTTCGCAGGAATTCTGCTGTCTTACTAGTCTACCATTTCAACAACGATCCTTGTTTGAGTTCTGAAGTCTACAAGGCTGTAGTGTTACTTCTGTTGCTATGACTTACAAGTACTGACTGCTACTTCAGGCACTTCAGTAATAATTTTCTATTCCAGCAGCTTGTACATGCGGTTTCAATACTCAGCCCCCTGCAGCATTCATTCATATTCTTTCAAAATCAACCTTTAGGTAGGATATGGCAAGGCTTGAAGCACACAATCGAGGCTCAGCAGAGCTGAGACGTGTGCCTGCAAATCGGCACGGAGAAAGCATGTTCATGTATGAAACTGTAAAGCGAATAAAATTCATGCGGCTCGTCAGAGGGCAACATTTGGGTGATGCAATCTGATTTTTGTGGCAAAGCTGTGCGGCAAGACTGTTATGGCAGTGTACACTTTACTAGCTAAGACCCAGGATAAGGAAAACCTATATTCTTACACTCTCCTCCCTCCTATGTATGGTCTTAGTTAAGACCACCGATGCCCTGCAAATTGCGAGACTGGAGGTAGACATGCAATACCGAGGGCCCAGAATTTATGGGTAGGATGCCCTGATTACTCTAAACTTCAAGGTATTTTTGTTGTTGAGCTGATTTTTCAGGGTTTGAGGTTTTGTAACCATGATTCAAAAAGTGTAGCATTTTTTTTACCCTTCAAGACTCAGGCTTCGCAGCCCTCCGGCCCTGACAAATCAGGGCAGCGAGGCAATTACCTGAAACACATAACTTCCAAGGTCTTTGGCGCTGATTGGCCCTTTGCTGAAATTAGTGCCCGATGTGTGCTGGAGGCCGTATGAGGCTGCTAACCGGCCTTTTGCCAAAATCAGTGCCCGATGCGTGCTTGGGCAGAGTGAGGGCGCACATGACCTTCACCAAAATCACCTCCTGGTTTGTGCTGAAGGCGATGTGAGGGCATCAATTGGTACTTAACCTAGTTTTCCTGTTGATGTGTACTAGGGGCTGTGTGTGCGATGGCACTCATTGGTGCTTCACAATGTTTGCTGCCCCAGTGTATACTGAACAGTGCTGATTCCTCTCGTTCTCCTGTCACTCTGATTTGCATGCCCCCCAATTCTTTTCTGCCCCATCCCCCATTCTCGCCCCCTGGGTGCATTTCTCTACAAGTTGTGCCTTCTATCGTCTTCAAATTCAGTAGCCTAATTTTAGCCAGTCATTTCAAATACCATATGTTTATGGGCAAGGTAATGGGAAAATGAG